TCAAAAGTCCTCTGAAATGTCAAATAAAACATTTTTCTGAAGAAGGGTCTAGGCCCGAAACATCAGCTTTTCTGCTCCTCTGATGCTGCTTGGCCTGCTGTGTTCATCCAGCACTACACCTTGTTCTCTCAGATTCTCCAGCATCTGCAGTTCCTACTATCTCCGAAGCATCAGGTGGGATTCACTGTCAGTCAATAAAGGCATGGTATTTTGTTTTAAAATACAAATAAAATTATATTGTGAAAGGAAAAGATGTTGGATGATATCAAGGGGCAAAAAATTTAGGAATTCAGGTTTACAAGACAAGTAGTACCTTAAATGTCCAGATTTAGAATGGAAATTGTGTAAAACTTGCCTGACCTTAATTGAAACAAAATGATATTCACATGCTGCAGCGCCATCATTTGTAAGGTGGTGTGATTACAGCTTGAAATTTGGCTCAACCTTCATGAACGTGGACCAAGGAATTCATATTGAGAATTCTTTAAATATCAACTTAAAATAGGGCTGAAATATGTCTGCATTTACTATTCCTTGTCCTCTATCCTATTCTAAGATTATTCTGGAATGTAAAGCTAAACTGCATCTTCTTTTCTCTATTACAAATGACATACCCTTCTGCTTTGTCTCCTTCACCCTCAACTGCCACAATAATTATAAGGAGCTGATGAGCTTCTTTGTCACTAAGATGGAAACTATTGATCAGCTGTGTCTGCTTCAACCCTACTTTCTACAACATGACCTTGTCAAACCTCATGTAAAGGCTTCTGTAGTGATTGTAAGGAGGTCAGCCAGCTGGACATCATAGAATATGAGTACCCAGACAGGGCCTGTTAATCTTGTCCAAGTAGGAAACGCTGATTGGCAGATAAAAAGGGGTGTGTCAGAGAAGCTTTTACTCTGAGAGCTGATACTGAAGAGGCAGTACTAAAGTCAAGGACTGAAGGACTGTTCTTGTGTAAACAAAGGGTGACTTGGTGATGGGATACCCACGTCTGTGGAGTTATTTCAGTTTCCTCTAACCTCTACCCTAGACCTGAAATTGCATCTTAACTATCTTTCATCCTACACATTTGAAGTTGTATTCATGAGATCCACCTCCTGCTTTACTATCTTTTTTGATAAATTTCATCCACAACTTAACAATCTGTCCAAACATTTATCTGTTTTCAAATTATCAAGCTCCAATTCTAAAAAAAACTTCGCTTTTTATCCTGCTTCTGTATGGCAATAGAACATGCTGAGGCCATACCTTGTTTTCTCTTTGGTAAAGAAATATCCCAGATCTACATGATAATTTCATTCCTCCATTGGTCATAAGGCTCATTTTGGAAAAAAGTGTACCCTGCAACATTATGTTTTGACTCAACCATCCTGTCCTAACAATGTTTATACACAAGAGAACTGAACTTGAACAGAGTCTGATTAGTGAAAATTTTATTTCAGTTAGCCACTCTCCATAAAACTCATACACCACTGATTACAGGATACTTTCCTAATCAACCTGTTCAGAGATGTTATGAAATACCTTTGGAGCAAGCAATACTTGAATCTGGGTCTAGCGGTAGGGACACTACCACTGCACCATCAAAGATGCTTAAATCAACTCCTTAACTGCCCATATTTATACAAGGAATGCACATCCAATTAACCCTTAATTAATGTATCTATCACCTGTTCCTTCACTCCATTAGGTCTCAAGAATTCCATCAGATGATATTAGATAATAACATACATGCCTCATATATATTGTGAACAGGCTTATTTCCTGTTTTTGCCAAGCAAAATTGTGCCTGCGAATGTAATTTCAACGTGGCTAGGGTATTAATGATAATTCATGACATACTGATGTATTCAAAACAGGTTCACAACCAGAAATCCTGCCTCCCTGGAAAGCTCTGAGAGCTTAATAGCAAAGGTTTAACCTGCTGTCATAGATGTTGTTTTTAGCCTTGTGCCCAATTTTCTCCTGCTTTCTGTTCAAAGTTTTGGGTGAGTCCACAAAATTCTACCCAATTTGCATAGTAGCACATGAGATTGACCATTTCATCATAGAGTCATAGAGCATGGAAACAGACCCTTCAGTCCAACCAGCCCATGCTGAACATAATCCCAACTAAACTAGTCCCACCTGCCTGCTCCTGGCCCATAGCCCTCGAAACCTTTCCTATTCATGTAGTTATCCAAATGTCTTTTAAACATTGTAATTGTACCCACATCTACCACTTCCTCAGGACGTTTGTTCCACGTGCAAGCCACCTTCTGTTTAAAAAAATTGCCCCTCATGTCTTTTTTAAATCTTTCTCCTCTTGCCTTAAAAATGTGCCCCCTAGTCTTGAAATCCCACATCCTAGGGAAAAGACAACTCTATCTACACCCCTCATTACTTTATAAACTTCTTTAAGGTCGCCTCTCAAACTCCTACACTCCAATGAAAAATTTCCCAGCCTATCCAGCCTTTCTTTATAACTCAAACCTTCCATTACTGGCAACATCTTGGTAAATCTCTTCTGAGCCCTCTCCATCTTAATAATATCCTTCCTACAAATGAGAGACCAGAACCGGACACAGAATTCCAGTCGAGGCCTCACCACTGTCCCGTACAACCTGTACTCAAAGGACGGAGCAATGAAGGCAAGCGTGCTATTGTCTATGTGTGACGCAAACTTCAAAGAATTATTTACCTGCACTCCTAGGTCCCTCTGTTCTACAACATGACCCAAGGCCCTACCGTTAATTGTATAAGCCCTACCCTTGTTTGTTGTACCAAATTGCAATACCTCACATTTATCCAGATTGAATTCCATCTGCCACTTTTCAGCCCATTTACCCATTTGATCAAGATCTCTTTGTAATCTTAGAAAACCTTCCTCACTGTTTACTATGCCACTAAGTTTAGTGTCATCCGGAAACTTACTAACCATGCCTTCTATGTTCTTATCCAAATCGTTTATATAATTGAAAAAAAAAAGAAGACCCAGAACTGATCCCTGTGGAACACCGTTGGTCACAGGCCTCCAGTCTGAAAAGCAACCCTCCACCATTACTCTCTATCTCCTGCTGCTAAGCCAATTATGTATCCAATTGGCAAGCTCTACCTGAATCCCTTGTGACCTAACTTCACTAATTTGTCTACCATGTGGAACCTTGTTGAAGGTTTTGCTAAAGTCCAAGTAAACAACATCCATTGCTCTGCCCTTATCGATCTTTTTGGTAACTTCTGCAAAAAATTCAATCAAGTTTGGGACACAATTTTCTTCATACAAAACCATGCTGGCTATCCCTAATCAATTTTTGCCTCTCTAAATGTCCATAAATCCTATCTTTTATAATCACTTCCAACAATTTGCCCACAACTGAAGTCAGACACAAAGGTTGATATTTCTCCAGTTTCTCCTTACAACCTTTCTTAAACAAAGGTACTACATTAGCTACCTTGCAGTCATCAGGTACCTCACCTGTAGTTATAGATGATGCAAATATTTCTGCAAGGAGTTTACAGCTACTTAAATTTTGGAGGAGCAGATAAAGTTTGCCATTGACAATAAAATTAGAGTTTAAAATATCAATGCTATGTTCAGTATAAGATAAAGATCATTGTATAATAATTATACCTATCCTAAGTGTTTCAAAAGTTAGCAGCAAATGTGTTATGATGCCAAAACCACAATATATAAATGCCATACCATAATCATTAATATCATCTGTCTTTATTTATTACTTCTATTTCAGTTTTTGTTATAAACTTCATTTTATTTTTTCTTAGATCCTAATAATCATGTCTAACTTTCAACTACATGATAACATTGATCACACATGAAATACTTTCTAATTTTCCTGGTTTCTCTTTGGAGAAGTATGATAACTTGGCTGGTATTTTCAGCTACAGCCAATCAAGCTATAGATTCACCAAAGGACTGGTATTATGATGAGTTAGGTACCAATTTTTCATGCAGCATCCTTTTGAAAAAAAAACTAATACCTGAAGCCGATAGTATCATCCAGCTATTGCTGTGTTGTGCAGAGATGCATAAGGGATGTGTGATGTTGAAACAGTGAGTTTATATGCGGTTAATTTAAATCTATTTGTTATTTTAAAATTTGCACCAGGAGGTAGGTGGTGCAATCTAAATAGTATGTTAAGTAAATTTACAGTGTTCAGAATGAAATATAATTAACAGCTTTCAGTAAATGGGTCTATTGAAACACAATGTCTCCTTAATTGGTTTTCTCCAAACACTTTTATTGAAAGTATGTTCTGAATCATAAGTTACATTTGGCATTCAGGCTTTATTAAATTCTAGTAGATGAGCCATAATGATTTGCTTTCTAGATTTTGTAGTAGATTCAAATATTCTACGCCAATAATATTTAATCACAATCATATTGCTTGCTGTTCTTGTTGAGTGATAGTCAGCCTAGGAACATTTAATGAGATTAACTTTGTTTTGTCCTTGTACTTCCAGAAGTATCATTCAAAATTCTGTCATAATTAACAAATTGTTTCACATCTTTATCATTCTCCAGAAAGAAATGTGTGCTATTTGGTGGGAGTTATCGTAGCATGTGTGTGGGGATGTTTTATGAGCTGTTATGAATTTGTTTGTATTTCGAAAGTTGTTTTATGTAAAAACACTGGAATCCTAGTTAGTGGTATGTGAATAATTTAGTTGCTACATTTTAGACTTTCAAACTGTGTACTGAAAAAGTGATTTGGATGAGGCATTTGGTATGCAGGAATGTAACTTCGTGTTTTTGATACTGTGTTTCGTTTTGTTAACAGAAATTTAATGTACTATTAATTTGAGGAATAAATAAAAATCTGTTTTATTCTTAAAATCTTACTCTTAAAAAAAAACTGAAGGTTTATTATTTGGAGCAGTTTCTGCCTCTGCTCTGAAAATCATTAGTTTTTTTATTACAAAATGTCTTTTTGATTCATTAAGGGATGAGGACATCACTGGCTGGGCCAGCATTTATTACCCATCCATAACTGCCATTGAGAAGTTGGTGGTGAGCTGCCTTTGTGAACTGCTGCAATCCATTTCATGTAGGTACAGCCACAATGGCATCGGGGGCGAGTTTCAGAATTTTGGGATATTTTCCAAGTCAGCATGGTTATGTGGCTTGGAGGGGAGTGGTGTTCCAATATATCTGCTGTGCGTGCCCACGTAGATGGCAGTAGTTGTATGTTTTGTAGGTGCTGTCTAAGGAGGCTTTGTGGATTTCTGCAATGCATCTTGAAGATGGTACACACTGCTGTAACTGAGTGGTGATATAGTACCAATCAAGTGGGCTGCTTTGTCTGAGAGGGTGCTGAGTGTTGGAAAGAGTACCTGAAAACACAGTGTGGAGCTAGAGGAACCTCCAGCTCCACACTGTGTTATCTCTGACTTTAGCAACAGCAGTTCTTACTATCTCTGGAAAGAGTACCTTTTTTTTAAACAAGTCATGGAAAGGATAGTGGGGCGCCTTTTCTTTCAAAACCACTCATTACAAATCAGATGGTTTAAGCTAACAAGTAAGCATGTGGAAATGCTGCTTTTATTGGAAGTTACATGATATCAGCTAACTAGGGTGGCACAGTGGTTAGGACTGTTGCCTCACAGTGCCAGGGACCTGGATTTGATTCTAGCCTCGGGTGATTGTCTGTGTGCGTTTCCTTTGAGTGCTCTAGTTTCCTCCCACAGTTCAAAGATGTGCAGGTTAGGTGGATTAGCTGTGCTAAATTGTCCTGTAGGATGTGCAGGTTAGGCGAATTAGTCATGGGAAAATGCAGGGTTACAAGGATGGGGTGGGATGCTGTTCAGAGGGTTGGTGTGAACTTGATGGGCTAAATGGCCTGCTTCTACACTGTACGGATTCTGTGGTCTATGATGATGATGCTTGGTTTTACTGAAAACCACATACCTGAACTTATGGCTGTGATGAGTTGTGGCTATTGGGATGTTGTTGGGAATTCAGTTGGGATACAGCCGGCTCACAGTGAAAAGCTCCCCAGCTCATCCTGTGCCTTTTTGAGAAAACTTGTTCCATTTGAGACCTGAAAAACTAATTCTCCTGAAACGACTTTAAGTTTTCAATGATCTGTAAATAAATTGCAACTGCAAAGATCCATGTGGCAAATATCTGCATCTAGTGACACACACCTGCGTTTTCCAGGGCACCAACTGAAAATTATCTTATACATATACATTTTATTAATTTGCTTTTCAAAACTAACAATATTAGACAAAGTGTTATTTTCAAAAGTAATCTCTGCAGGAAATCTTTTTTTCTTCTAATTGGTTTTTTTTGTTGGTGTAAGATGAAGTGTAAATATTTATACTTTGCTATTTCAAACTATGTTAATCAACTTTACATCTCTGCCAAACAAGACCTGTATTCATAAGAAATCAATAATTGTGCTTCTTCTTGAAATAAACCTGGTTGATGCATCTTTTTATCCTAAATATAGTATACATAATGCATAAAATAGTCCATAAGAGTAACTGGATAACACACTTAAATGTAAATTTTGACCAGTGGAATAATAGAACCAGAGGGAGATAGTGCACAACCCCCCAACCCTGTTTGTAGCAAATTGTACTTTATTTTGATGAGATCAAGTTTGAATCCAGTGTCATTTTTTACATTGAGATTTTTTTTTTCGTGATGATTTATGATTTATGAAAACATCTATGATATTTAATTTTCTCTCCTCCCCTCAAATTAAAAACTCATGTTAAGGTACCATTCCATCAACACCAGCCTGGTATGTTTTCATAATTTATTTGTGAGTTCAGTGAACAATTATTTGATCATGAATATGTTGTCACCTTACTTCCAATTTCATAAACCTGCTTCATGTTGATTTTATTTTCTCTCTAACACAGGTGTCTGATATACTGTTATGACATTTGTTTTACTGACATGGTTGAGATCCTAGCATTCAGCACAAACTACAGGTGGATGACCATATTGGTAAGTCAACTAGCCATGTATTAAGAGCGTAATCCATAAACCGTAAATTCAAACAAAAATCAACAACAATTGGTAAGGTGGAGTTCTTACAGAATAGGTTGATATCCATCAAACAGCTGAGCTGGAGTGTCATTCCAAAATATTCAAGTAAGCACCTTCCTTCTAGCCTGCAACTCAACATAATTTTCTATTTTGACACTGCAATGTTAGTGCATTGCACACTGAATATAATTTAATCGCAAACATTTATAAATTAATAATTTTGTGTTTTCAAACATGCAGCACAAAGCTCATGCAAGGTTGTAAATAACACAGGAGATGGATTCTGTTTATGTTTTCACTTTCTTTGATTAAAAGTTTTATTTTTGATAACTCACTGTTAATTATTTTTCTCCCCTTGTACCATTTCCCAACTGAATGAGACTATAATTAAATTTTTCTATTTATAAAAAGGTAAAGTCACAATAATCACAGAGGACCAGGGGGCTGCCCTCTCGTTAGGGAGAGATGACTGGTGGTGAGTTCAACCTGAGGGTCACCATGCCTCAAGCAAAGGGTGAGGTTGAGAAGGCCAGATCTCTATCATGACCTCAGCAGGTACATGAGATAATATGTGTAGAACTCCAGGTGATTGACTAGTTAATATGTCAAACAGTTGCAGCTCCATGTTTTTCCAGTCAATCTTTTACATTATAAATTCCTATGTTCACTTTTATAGAAATTCTGTGAATACACCAACCCGCCCTAGAAACACTACAGTTTTATCATTGGTGGGAAAGTGCTATTTTTGTTTATGTCATGCTATCTGGTTGATCCCACTCCCCTGTTATTTCCCCCTTCACCCTCCAAATATTTTCAATTATTTTCCATTTCAATTTTGAAAAGCACTGTTGAAACTGGTTCCAACACCAATTCAAGCATTGCATTTTAAATCACTGCAGCTAGCTGTGTGAAAAAAAAGTTCCCACCTTCCTCTTGGTCCTTTTACTAGTTATCTTAAAGGGTATAACAGAGATATAAAATGAGTAGCAAACATATGAGATAGCAAGAACTGCAGATGCTGGAGTCAGAGACAACCAAATGTGGAGCTGGAGGATCACAGCAGGCCAGGCAG